GTAAAAATGGCAATCTTACCAAAGCAATCTACAGATTCAATGCAATCCCCATCAAAATCCAAACACAATTCTTCACAGACTTGGAAAGAAAAATACTCAACTTCATATGGAAAAACAAAAGATCCAGGATAGCTAAATGAATCCTGTATGATAAAGCAACCTCTGGAGGCATCACCATCCCTGACCCCAAGCTCTACTATAAAGCTATAGTAATAAAAACAGCTTGGTATTGGTATAAAAACCAACATACAGACCAATGGAATCAAACTGAAGACCCTGACATTAATCCATGCACATATGAACACCTGATTTTTGACACAGAAGCCAAAGCTATACAATGGAAAAAAGAAAGTATCTTCAACAAATGGTGCTGGCATAACTGGATGTCAATATGTAAAAGATTACAAATAGATCCATATCTGTCACCATGCACAAAACTCAAGTCCAAGTGGATCAAAGACTTCAACATAAATCCAGTTACACTAAACTTAAAAGAAGAGAAAGTAGGAAGTACACTTGAACGCACTGGCACAGGACAGCACTTCCTAAATATAACACCAGCAGCACAATTACTGAGCACAACAATTAATAAATGGGACCTCTTAAAACTAAGAAGCTTTTGCAGGGCAAAAGACATGGTCAATAAGACAAAAAGACAGCCAACAGAATGGGAAAAGACCTTTACCAACCCCACATCTGACAGAGGGAGGACTGATCTCCAAAGCATATAAAGAACTCAAGAAACTAGACACCAAAATACTGAACAATCCAATTAAAAAATGGGCTAAAGAGCTGAACAGAGAATTCTCAAAAGAAGAATCACAAATGGCTGAAAGGTATTTTAAAAAATGCTCAACATCCTTAATCATCAGAGAAAGGAAAATCAAAATGACTCTGAGATACCACCTTACACCTGTCAGAATGGCTACGATCAAAAACACCAATGACAGTCTATGTTGGAGAGGATGCAGAGCAAGGGGAACACTCCTCCACTGTTGGTGGGAATGCAAGCTTGTACAACCACTGTGGAAACCAGTATGGCGGTTTCTCAGAAAATTAGGAATCGAACTACTTCAAGACCCAGCCATACCACTCTTGGGCATATACCCAAGGAATGCTCAATCATACCACAAAGATATATGCTCAACTATGTTCATAGCAGCACTATTTGTAATAGCCAGAACCTGGAAACAACCTAGATGCCCGTCAACTGAAGAATGGAT